AAGTAGAGTTTTTATTGTTGAATGACATTTGCAATTTTACTTTTCTTATCAGATACAAGCATCGTTTAATGGACTGGACATTTCCAGAAGTGGACAAGTGCAATTCAGCAGTAATAAATGTGCAATTTTTTTTTTTTTTTAAATATAAAAATTTCGCAATTTAGCACTTTCGCTAGATCACCCCTAAATGTACATCCTCCCTCTCAGACATAATTGCTTGCCTTTTAAATGGGTTTATAAAGATTGATAAACGAATGGTGTTAAAATTTTTTAAAAAAGTCGACTACAACAATGAAGGTAGGGGCGCTGCCTCCTTACACAGAACATATTCAGCCCAGCCCTTACAGCGTAGTGCGCTTTACGGACCCGCATAAACATCCTCATTCGCACTTATGTACGTATGTCCGAAATGTTTCCCCCATCTCCCACTATCAGGAATCATCACCAAAAAAAAGCTCTACAAATTTTACAGTATGAAAAGTAGAAACGAAATCGGCTCCAATGACAAGCGAAAATATAGTAAGATTTTATGATTCACCCATTTCTTCCCTTTCCAGTTTTCCACATTTCCATCTTCGTTGCTCCGTCAAATGTTGTATAATGTTCATTTCTTTTCGCAAAATGGACATTTGAGAGAAACCCCCTTTTCCAACTATTGCTGCGCGTTAATTGGTTCTTTGAGCCTTATATAAATGTGCCCCCCGTAACTGACCTGCACAGGCAGTTGCTTATATCAAAATCGTGTACACGTAGACTTACATACGCGCATGTAAGTATGACACATTTATACTGTTACACACATGCAACCACACCTACAATTATATGCACATTTTCGCTTAGCTTTTGAAGAATTCTTTAACTATATAAGCAAGGAGTAGAGGAACAAAACGCATTTATTTATTTTTTTTATTTATAAAGGCATAGTTTCACCCGTTGTCGAATGGTGAGGGAAACCATTATAGCATTGCGCACGTCAGACACACCTGATGCGGGTACTTAAATATTTCTACTTAATATCCCCCCCTTCTTATATCAGGTTTAGCTAAACGGTTAAAATGGGCGAGGACTTCACCAATTCTTTAATTACGTGTGGATTATTTTTTATTCTTCATTTTAACCATTTTTCCTTTTTAATTCAAAAGGAGTTAAGCTTTATTTTATTTTCCTTACACACTCATTTCATTGTTCATATATACTTTTTTTTTTTTTTACATCCCACACTTTATTATGGACATTGATTAGACACCTCATTCGTGTATCATCTGCCCCCCAGCAATTGCGTCTGTTACTTTCACCGTCTCAAACACGTCTACCTTGTCCAGTCCATTAACCTCCCCTTCCCCCTCATATGCAATACCTAAAAATAGAGCTCACAAATGTTGAACAAAATAGTAAAATTAAAAATATTAACCCTCTTCTTAATGTATAACAGCACAATTTTAAAACATGCTCCTCCCCCTCTATGCCCTAATCATTATACATTATACATTGTGCATTATTTCTTCCCTCTTCTTCCTCTTTTTTTTTTTTTTTTTTTTTCACTTATGGTGTAAGAATATTCAACATTAAAGACAGCTTATGTTTACATACACATTGGTTATTATGTGTTCATATGAATATAATAAAACAAACTTTAATTTTTTTTTTTTTTTTGCCCCACCTTTCTTTCGGTTAAAATTACCAACCCCTTATGCCAGTAACAAGGATTGCTCCGTGTACATTGCCAGTTATATAGTACCATGAAGGAACCAAATGAGGCGAAGGAAGTATTTGCGGGCGGACGCAAACTCGAACCGCACCTTGAAGGAGGAACCACTAAAAATATTTTAATCGACTTTTGCGTTCTTCACAAAAAAAGACGAGTTCAAATACGTGTACAGCGTGCACATATAAATAAATCTGGTCATATATGTAGACACACATGTACATGCTTATGCTCCCACACGAGGGCACCTTCCAAAGCAAGCTTCCACTTTGAGGCTTGTTCGAAAAAGGGCTAAACGCTTTGCACGCAAGGGGCTTCAAACATTTCGAAAAAGATTTACAAAGAGAAAACGGGGACTCCGCAGCGTGGTGCCATTCCAGCAGCTCACATACAAGCCCTCCTGCATATACGCATGTGCGTGTATTGGTACGTGATCAGCGTGGCAGGTGATCAACTCGCTATGTGCACGCTTCCATTAATAACGATAAAAAAAAAAAAAATACGTAAACATATTCATAAAACAACAGGTTCCATGGGTCAGGTGTGCACCAGTTCATTCTATTGCTTTGTAGCAAGGCAAGAACTGGTGCTTCCGCGCATATGCGTATTGTTAAGTACACACATCCGTTTAGCTACGGCTTCGAAAACGCTGTTCTGTCATCCCTAACTATGTAATTAAAAAAATGGATAAAATAAGGTAGCCAAGCAGTGCCTATACTCTAATGGCATTAATAATAAACTACGTGTGTGTGTGTGTGTATTCGCTTCGCTCTTCTAGGGGATTAATATGAACGAATGAGGATACCCGCCACCGCTCTCCCCCTCGTGCAGATTCAATCTTCACATCGGTACGTAAACCGGAACAAAACGCATAGGGGGACAGTGGACACCTCGCATAGCCACATAACAGAGCAGTACATACCATGAGTCCACTCCCCCGCAGTGAACCTAACTATGTGCATCTCCACATTGTCACATATACTTCCTCATATTGCCAGAATAGCTATCGTTCGAACTGTAATTCTTATATCTGTTTCTATACTCTTTGTCACTATACATGGGATTCACATCGTTGACATCCCTGTTGCTGTATAAGTTCCCCGGCTTGACGCTGGTTGACTTGTTCTCCACGTCACTCGCGAAGTGGCTCCCATCGTTAGGTCCTCGATACATGTCACCATGCGCATTCAGATTATGCGTACCACTATTGCTATTTAAATCCATATTTATATTTCGGTAATTATACAAATCGTTTTTTAGGACATAGGGGTCGTAACTACCACCTCCAATGGTGTTCGAGTGGTACCTATTGGCATTATGAGAGTAGTAAAAGTCACTCATGTTCCCGTGGTCGTCACCCATTAATTTGGAACTGTCCGCTCGTTCATGTAATCTGTTATACCTGAACCGTTCAGGAGAGGAATAAAAATTAGGGTTCTTCATATCACCTAAAATGGGATCATCATTATCAAAGTTGAAAATATGTCCACCTGTATGCTGTTGCATATGCTTTGCATCCGTAGGATGATTATACGTATTCCTCGTGTTCACATAAGTACTGTCATTTATATCGTCGTCCTTTTTGTTAAAAATATTTATCTTCTTCAAATAGGACCACTTCTTATCAGACTCATTCTGCTTTTTGCTACTCTCATTTAGGTAATCACCGTAGTTGGGGAAGTTTCCGTAATGGGGGTCCTTAACCGTGCTGTTCATATAATAATCCGTATATATATCGTTGTCGCCATACTTGGGACCTCCCTTAAAGTGGTAAGGCATATTCGCATTCATGTGATCAATGGGGGACGTGTAAAAACTTCTACCTACATTTTTCACAGGCGTCTTATTCAAATAATCCTCATTTCCCAGGTACTGGTTGAATCCCTTGATAGGATTTCCCATGTGGTCCCTATACTCACGCATTCTGCCCCTATTATACAGCAAATGTCTATTCATTCCAAGCACCCCATTTGCATTGCCTACATTTTCCCCAAGGTATTCCTTGCCCATGAATTTGCCTCTAGGTCCCAGGGGGTGAGGATAGCCAAAGCCATTCACTCCAGGCAAGTAAGGTAAATCGCCACTGTTATCATTAATATTGTATAGAAAAATGTTCTTTGGATGTTCCAACACTTTGAGTAACCTCTCATCGTCCTTACGGAAGTATTCCTTCATCTTCGTCACTCTGTTAAGAGAACTGTACGAAGAGTATATAAACGTGTTCTTGATAGTTGCCCATTTAATGAATAAAAAATATTCGGTCTCATTATACTTGGTGTTTATTACGTACACATGTAAGGGAAAAAACATTTTCTTGTGATTCTTAATTATGTAAAGCAAATTGTACTTGATGTACTTCTTCATCTTCTTAGTATTCACATAAATATAATCGTTGTAAATTTTCCATTCCTCTTTCAGGAAAGATTCCCTCTTCAAGTAGTTCGCGTAGAACATGTGCAGCGGGTTACTGTTCACACTATAAGGCTTATTCTTTAACATTTCCAAAGCCTCATCGTCTAAATATACATTCTTCCTTATCTTGTAAATGTACACGTAGTCCGTTTCAGTATCCAACGCTATGAGGTGTTTATTGTCTGACTTTTCGATGGTAAAAAATCGAACGTTCAAAAAACTTCTGTGACTATAATCATCCGCTGCGCTGTAGTACCTGGGCAATAAAATGTTAATTATATTTTCATCCTTCAAATTGTATAAATGCTTCTTCACATCTTTTATATAATTTATTAACAATTTCTTCATGGAAAATTCCCCCTTGGAGTTATCCCTTCCCATCATGCGAGCTTCTTCTCCACTTTCACCAGAATAAAAACGGTTATTCCCATCCTTGATGGTAGAAATGTAATTGTTAAAATCTTTTATGTTAATGTGCAACATACTCTCAAGGTTCACATCATCCTCATCTAAGTTGTTTCCATTTTCTATCAGCCTTTCCAGGATTTTTATTTGCTTCATATTGTTTTCTACGTCGGTCATATTGTCCTTTAACAAATTCACTCCGCCAACCAACGTATCTTCACTTACGCCTCCACCCATCACTCCGTCTCCACCATATCCAGCACCTCTGTACACATCTAAATTCAAATCGATGATAACAAAATTGCAGTCGTATTTGTAAAAGTAATCACTCATATATTTATTCCTCTTCTTCTTTTTCTTCTTGAACAAATGATGGTTTGCATTTTTCCCTCTCCTTTTTTCTATTTCTCCCGTATAGAGATAGATGCAGTTGCTATACAAATGATACTCACAAATAGAGTTAAAATAAATGGCCTGATCCACGCAAAAAGTTTTGACCAGAGAAAAACTGTTTACCCCATCATTCTTTAGGCTCTTCTCATACAAGTACACATGCCCATTATCACTAAAAACGGAGTAACAATTATTGTTTATCCACAAAAAATTCACAAACTGGGAATTGAAACAAATATTCGTAATCTCATAAATGGAGAAGTAAAAAAAATTGCAAATGTACAAAGTTTTACTTGTTAACACTAAACAAAAAAAACCGTTCGGCGCAAATGCAACCTTTATCACCCCGCCATTTAGAAAAATCCTCTTGCTCAGTTCATAAGAAAATTTTCTATTCTTTCTCGAGTAATAATCTATTAACAAATCACAATGACTAATATTGCTGTACAAGATTTTCCCATATATGTATTCCAATTTTCCACTATTGTAACCCAAAACAAAATTATTAATCAAATTACAGTTATTAGAATTATTGTCAAAGCACACACATGTCACATACTCACAATTGTTCCTTTTGTCCTTCATCAAGTGGGATGGGGAATTGTACACATACTCCTTCAAATCCGATAACATGTAATGTTCCTTCTTCCTATGCATGTCTACACTATCCGATATGGTCCCCACATCATCCTTATTGCTCAACAGGGAGTAATCATGATGAAAATGTTGCTCACCCTCTTGACCATATTTCTCTGAACATTCGTTTTCTTCATAAATAAACTGCCTTGGATTTTCATCATTGATAACCATATCAGGATACTTCTTTTTTATATTTTTTAAAATGTTTGAAATTAATATATCTGTGTATTGTATATGCTCCTTTTTTTCATAACCCAAAATTAAATTGCTCACTTGTACTCTTTCATTCTTTATTTCTACATTACCAATGACATTGTTAAAATTGTTTTCTATCTGCTTAAAATTAATAAATATCATTTGTGCCTTCCCTGAGAATAGGATGTCTTGAATTAATTCACCCTCTTCGTTTATGCTATTTTCGAACTTTTTTAAAAACTCCGTGTACTCACTCGTGTTGTTACTAGCCGCAGTGCCACCGTCTCCATACCCACCACCCCCATTGTTTGAAGCATAACCCTCGTCAAATAAATTCCCCCAAAACAAATTCCTAATCCGTCTAATCGAATCTAGCAATCTACTACCCAATCCTCCATCACCACCTCCTTTTCTGCCCTTATCATTATTCAGTATGTGATCTAACTCCTCCTCTTGCATTCTCATTTGCCTTAATTTGTAGTCATAGTCAAATCTATGAATGAAGGGAAGAATCGAAGACAAAATTATAATCCCGTTATCATTCGTATTATAATTGCAGTCAACGCAATTGTATACAAAATAAGGGGCAATATATTTTCTTCTCGCAAGAAAATCATGATTAATTAATCTTGAGTCTTCGTCCTTTTTTAAATATTTCATATAGTCCTTCACATTCCTATCGAAATAATTTGTCAATGAGTAATTCTTTATATATGTGTACTCCAAAAAATTAAAGTGAAAAATTTTACTTAAAAACATAAAGATATTTTTCACCCAATCTTTAACAGAAAAAAAAGTGTTAAACAAGTGTATTAACATATTGTCTGAATCAAGCATATTTTCAATTATGACATTCTTATTTGCGTCTAATGTGTACTTTATTTTTTCATTGCCTCCAACAATGCCTTTATCCCCTTCCTCATCCTCCTTCTCATCCTTCTTTATCTTAAATTTGTAATACGCATTATCGTTCAAGTACACGTATTCTTCATTTTCTTTCACCATATTGCATGATAGGTTACGTGGCTTCTCTTCTATCTGATAATACGTGTTCTCTAAATCCATTTGATTAGTTATATATTCATACACATTCTTTTTGTTTGCGTGAATGTAATAAACAACTTCGTTAACTTTGGCCAACTCGTTAATGCTACTGCGGTTCAAACTTGTCTCGCGCTTCTTCACATCTTTCTCGCTCTCATTTTTTAATCTATTCATGTATAAAAATTTATCATCCTTCTCGAAACCGCTCAGCGTGCTGCTGTACTTGTCATACTTACTTTTTAAATAAAAATCTTTTTCCAATTTATCTCTTCCAAAATGTCCATCCTCGTCTTTCTTTTTAATCTCCTCCTTCAATCCGTAGTCATTTTTCCCGTGTCCATCGACTTTATGTATTCTTTGCATAAAATCGTATTCCTCGCTGAAGTCGTTCATTTTGTCTCCTTCAGTCTGCTTGCGGTTCGTTCAATTGGTTATTCCACCGCTCGGTTATATTTTATAGCTAATTTTATTCTTTTTTTTTTTTTTTTTCACTTTTCCGCATGGTTTAACGCGGCCTAGACGACTACACTTGTCCGGTTCAAACCACCTTTGCCGCCGCTTCTCCGAGGTGTAAGCAGCAATACAGTTATCTTGTTCTCACTTGGGAAAACACAAAAAGGGGAAGAGAAAAAAAGGCTGAAAAAAAAAAAAACTCTTCCTAATTATGCTCACTACTGTCATTATGACAAGCTGAAGTTCATCCCTTTAAAAAATGCACAATTGGGACAACAAACTTGCTTGCGCGCACAAAGGCTTTATATAATGCATAAATGGAAAAAATAATAAAAAAAATTGCTCACGGGACATTTGAAAAGGCGGCACAAATAAAATCGGCATTTTGTTTTTGACAATCGGGAGGCAGCCATTAAACGGGCTTTCCAAGCGCTTCTCACGCGCTTTGAGCTCGTTTCTTGCGCTTTCTCCTCACCAAAGCGCATTTCTCACACGAAGGCGCTTTTCCCCCAAATGAGCTTCCCCACAGAGCTTTCGCACGGATCCTCCCCTTCCCCTTTTTTTTTCCTCGTCGAGAGAGAAAAATACATAAGAACATCTTCATACACGCAGGCGCAAGCGCGCGTGCATAAGCACATATATATATAGGGAATGTAAAAATATTGGGTTAACCTTTTTTTGCCAAATTTGAAAATGGAAAAAAAGATTAAAAGGGGGGTGGGGGAAAGAAACAATTTTTAAATTACAAAAAAGGAAAAATTATTTCAAAAAGTACAAAAGCAGAAACGAAACACATTTGCCATAATTTAAGCGGCACATGAGGGACGCGTAACTTTTTTCCTTCTCGTGCACTGCGATTTTAATTGCCGTTATGCGTATTGAGAAACAAATTTTTGTCAACCATCTCCGGAACGTTTTTGCCATAGAAAGAAGAAAAATTTCATCACCCTGCGGATCACACGTTGCAAAGATGAATGTAAATACATGTGCATACTTATATACATATATATGTCCTTCTGCACAGCTCGAAAATATTTCTTCATTTAAGTACGCCTATCCATATTTCCCCTTTCACGCGCAGTATGGAGATCATACAATTGTGCCAACCCTGCAAAATAGGCAGAGGAACAACAGCCGAATAATCGCCCTTTAACATTTTCACAACAAGAAAAAAAAAAAAAAAAACAGATAACCAGGGTTAAATGTGAGAAGCGCCTTCGAACAAAAGTTTTAAAGACGGCTTTTTGCCTATGTGAGAACTTATGTAAACACAACTGCATAAATGTAGTAGAAATCTGCCTTGTATTTTTTTTTTTTTTCATTCCTTCCACAATGCAGCTATTATATGTGTACTCATCTCCATCTCATGCATGTGAAAACAATTAATATAGCGCTGACCCTGGCATTGAGGCTGCTATATAAAGAGCGTGTATTTTTAAAATGATCACTACTATGACATACCGGGATCCCCCCCTTCCCCAAGTGAGCGTTTTCCCCCCAGCCGTTCACCTCAATGAGCAGTCATTCCAGACTTACATCACGCATCTTCAAACCAGCACCTCGGAAAAAGTTACACATTTTTTGCGACGAACAAAGCTACGCTGATAATTTGAGTCGCCTGTACATATACAATCAGCTGGACGCAAAAAACACAAACGAAAAAAACGCATATAGAGAAAATGTAAATAAATTTGTGGGGAAAGTATCAGCACATTTAAAAATTAACAGAGGGAATAGTAACATCATATTTTCGGTTCCCACCTTTTTGGACATTTTTTTCTTTAATTATTTCAAATTTAATCACAAGTCGAAATTAGTGTTTCTGTACAGCGTATTCAACATTAAGACGCATGATAAGGCTCAATTCCGTTTGAAGCAGGAACAAAATGAAAAAAAAAAAAAAAAATCTTAACACACTTGTGCGAAATTCTTGTAAACTCCGATACGAACTATGTACACGAAATACGTCTAAAGTACGTAAACAAATTGTATGAGTTAAATGAAAGGGGAAAAAAAGACATCACCATTCATCAACAAAAGGTTAATTGTCACTCCCGCGCCATTATCCCTCTAACTAACAGAACAACCTTCATACTGGACATACTAAACCAAATACACAATTTAAAGGATTTGTCAATTCTTATTTGTATTATAAGAAAAGCATCTTCGTTCCACACATTTGATTGCTCCAAAATATTAGACGCACTGTTGAGAAAAATTTATTCACATGTTATCAATTTCTCCGTGGCAGTGAAACCCAACTGTGCAAATGTGAGGCACTTCCCGTCCCTAACCCTAATCGATAAGAATAAAATAGAACAAATCGAAACCGTAAAGATAAGGGACCTTCTTTATACTTTCTACCAACTTGTCTACCTCCAGCCGGGACAGAAAATCCAATTTATTTTTTTAAAAATTCTGGCCATCCTTGGCAAAAATTACGCGCACCTTGCCAAAAATTACGCATACCTTGGGAGGGACGACCATGCCGCCTGGGGGGAAGCAACAGACGAAACGAATGCGAGCAACCTCTTGCTCTCGAACAAAGACATAGAGCAACTCTTGTTCCTACTCAGTAAAAATACCCACCTGAACGGACACTTTATGCACCCCCTAGTTATGCACTTCTATGTGAAGCTCTTCGCGCTGGATCCCGCAGTCACATACTCTATCAAATTAATTAAACAAAATAGTAAAACCAGTTATGCCTTCTGCCCGATTTCTACGTTCCCACAGAGTACTTCATCCTACCTCAAATTTATAAAAAAAACTGATGTGAAAAATTTCTTCCACACTTTCTATCAAGCGCTATGTATCAAATATTTGTTAAAAAGAAAAATAAATTTTTGTGAAAATCTGAGCAGCTGTGACCATTCTCCATACTCATGTATGACTCACTCACCTTGTCTGACTCATTTTGTACTTTACCAAAATATAGTTAATAAAATAATCGCCCGGTCTTTTTATCTCTATCAAGCGAAAATCAATCCAAAGGGAAAATACACTCACAAATGGGTCTACACAACTGCAAACAGTGCACGCCAAAAATATGAAAAAAATTACATCTATGACTTTACCAATTGTAAGTTTTTTTATTTAATATATATCAGAGCAATAATAAGAGGAAGAAGAACGGGGAAACCACTCGCAAAACGCGTACCACGTGGTCTGCGCCAAAAAGAAGCAATGCAGAAATTATAAACCCTAGCAGCATATCTTAGAAGTGGTACCCGCAAAGGGAATGTTTTGCTTTACTCACCCCTTTTTTTTTTTTTTTATTACGAATTCACTGTTACGTTGAGCATGACTATTATGCACAATTTGGACCTTCCGAATATTTGTACTTTATTTATTCACTTGTTGGGGAGTGTATCTTATTCCACGCAGGGTGTATACTCCCCCCACAAACACACTTGCCTATATTTGTACGTACTTTTTGTACCCAAAAAAAAGACCACCTCTCACAACTTCTTCGTTTCATCCGCGTCCAATTTAGATAGACAAACACTATTAACCATTTATTGTTTATCGTTTATTCGTTATGCATTATTGTGGGTCTGGCGCATGCCCAGGAAACCGCACATGTGTCATTAAAAAAAAAAAAAAAAAAAATGCAAACTACATGGTGTTAAACAAAGGGGCTACATTTCAACGATTTAATAAAATGTGCCCTTGTCAAATGATGCTTGTGCTGTAATGACAAAGTGCCAAAAAAAAAAAACAAACAAGTCAGTAAAAAGGAGAGCAAAAAGGAGAGCAAAAAAGAGACTAAACGAGAAAGTAACATAGTAACGGCAAAGTCAATTGCCCAAAATGCCGCACGCCTGCAGAAGCAGTTATGCGTGTGTGCAAAAAAGACGCCCATTTAATTCTTCAGAAAATCCGCGATCTCTTTTAAATTCTGATAATACTTCATAAAATTTTGTGTGTTCTCAAAACCCTGTACAGGTGGGAAAAAAAAAAAGGGGGGGAAAATGATCGAATGGAAAGGGGGCGTAAAAGGGGATAAAGTGGAAAAAAACAAAAACTAGCAACGCTCTTCAAGCGCAGAACTTTCCTATTTATCATTCTCACACTGTAAAATTTTACACAAAGTAGCCGCTTGCCCACTTTGCCAATTTTCTACTTTTCTCCATCTATACCCTTCTCAAGAAGTTCAGCTCTTCCAAAACCTTGGCATCCCTCGTAGTGGCAATCCACTTATTTACATCTGCGTAAATCGGGAAAAAAAAAAAATAAATATGTGTGTATGCACAAAATGGGCAAAAAAAAAAAAAAAAAAAAAAAGGAGCGGTGATCATTTTTCAAAGGCGCAAAATATGCACCTCTCATTTGGGGGGACAACTTACGGAAAAAGGTAAAGAAAAACTCAAACATTAAAATGTCTATTACGAATTTTTTTCTGAAAAAGGTTAACACTTTGATAGTGTCCTCGATGGAATATGTTCGACATGCGGGGATCATAACTTTGTGCTTCGAAAGGTAGTCCAGCAGGGACAGCGTTGCTCCCGGGCTGCATATTGAAGGAAAAAAAAAAAAATTAACAAAATGTGGTGAAAAAGCAACAAATGCAGGTTACGACTGAACACAAAAACTGCCGCACACATGTAAGCAGTTGTTTTTTTTCCTTTGCTTCCTCCTCTTAGAATTCTATTTCGAAGCATCTTGCAACACAGCTTTATTACTTTTTCTTTATCACGAACATCAGGGCATCATGGTATTTGAACTTTTTTAAGTAGTTGTTTATTTCTTCGCTTGAGAAAAAATGAATCATCTCCTAAAATGGGGGAAGGATATTTCAAAATGTGAAGTTGTGCCAACATGCGGGGGGAATGAATTCATAACATTTTGCGACAACGTGCTTTTGTCCAACTCACTGCCGCTGTGTTATTATTTTAATTTTGTTTTATTTTTTCCCGTGTCAACTTCTCATTTCACGCTTACCGGAACATCTACCAGAAGGGAGCTATCCTTACGTTTCTGTTTTTTTTGCTTCGGCTTCTCGTTGTACACCTCGATAAGCCATTTGCCATTCCTGCGTGGGAGGTCAACAAGTGAGCGTTTATGAGCAAGTCCATTTGTGAGCAGACCCAATTGTGTGTGCATACGAAGCGACGCAAAAAGGGCTCATCCCCTAACACAAAAAGCACGCAAATCATCACACTAAAATTCCCTTCCCAAACTTACATATCTCCCAGTGCTAGTACTCCATTCGAAAAGTCAACCGATTTAGGGGCATTCAAAAAATTAGCAATGCTCACCACTTTTATTTTCTGCAAAAAAAGGAGGAAATTAAAATTATTTCCATATATTATAACATTGTGCAAATATATGTTTCCTCTCATCATATGTACACTTTCGTTAATTGGGGAAGGGACGCTCAAAAGATATTAATAAATGTGTTACTTCCCAAATGCGGCTTCCTTTGGTAAGGACGTTTTTGTCTGTTCCTTCCCCCCTCCATTTTTTTTTTTTTTTTTTTTGTTTCTGTTGGAGGATTATTCGGCACACATCCCTGATGCAAATTTTCCCCACTTTGGAGCAACCGCCATAACAAAAAAAAAAAATAAACTACATACATCGCTCAATCACCTACCTCCATTCCCTTGTAGAAGGGATCCACAAAATATATAGACAAATCTAAGCTGGCGGCCACCAGGTAATGCTTAAAGTTCCCCAAATAAAAACAAGTCTTGGTGGAAATTATTACATTTTTCACGAATTCAAGATTCTCCAGTTTGTAAAATTTAATTACATTTTTCACAGATAAAACAATGTACTCATTTTGAAATATATTTAAACAGTCAACTGGTTCCTCCAACTCTATCTGGTTCACCTGTTTGTTCAAACTTAAATTATACACATACACATAACCATCATAGCTACTGCTGATTAAATGGAGATCCCCTCCACCACTTTCATCACACCTATGTAAACAAATACTAGTTATATTGTCAATGTGGTAATCTAAGGTACGCTCACATATGCCTTCCCATATGTTCCATATTTTAATAGTAAAATCTCGAGAGCAAGAATATAAGGTTTGAAAATTCGAGTTAAAAACTAAATCATTAATTGCTGATTTGTGTCCACGCAGACTTTTTATTCTTCCAAAGCAAAACATTCCTACGAGATCTATGGTACCATTTTCTAAACCAACTGCCAACATCTCATCATCTCGGAACTTCAATTTCGTAATACCTTCTTGGCACTGGTACTTCTTATTTAATTTCTCCCCTGTTATGCTGTTCAGGATGACCTATCCAAGGAGAAGCCAGGCGCAGCAGGAAAAAAAAAAAAAAAAAAAAAAAAGAATGAAAAACGTGCGTGAAGAAAGAGACAACCGATAACATCATAAAAATATAATTTTCCTGTCTCCTCTCACAGCACAGACGTACATATACGATGAAATGTGCAGTCTCATCTGCGTTTGGGTCAAGCATGACCGGGATTGTGGTGCGGTGATGTAGTGATTTATGCACGTCCACCCCTTTTTTGTATTTCTCTCTTTTGTGAAGGGGGCCCCCGGCAAATATTGCCACAGGCAGCACCGCGTAGGAGCTCCCCTCGCAATTCCCACACTATGCCTTACCACATTGCTGCAACCAATGGCAATGAACTTGCTGCAAATGCTTATCGATTTGACACATCCTTTATCATTTCCGGAGTTCAACACTTTAAAGTCAAACAAAAAATTATTGCTTTCCTTGATCTTCCTTTTCTTATGGGTCAATATTACTGGCTGGAAATAGGACATTTTTCTTTTGTGGGGGAGGAGGGTGCTGTTTTCTTTACTGTATCTTTTGGGAGGTATCCTATTTTGTCAAACAAAAAAGGGGAGAGCCCCTTGCGTAAATTGTAGAAGCAAATTTACAAACAGTGGCTTCTTTGGTTACTTGTCCGCTGCGTTCATTTTCTGCATTCACTAATTATGCCATACAGATTTTTACGAATAACATGAATATACGTTTTTGGTATAAAGGCGTATGAAAATCAGAACATCGCTTGACCAACAAACGCCCGCTTCCGTTTGCTCCTTCTCTCTCGATGATTCTTTTCTTCCATTCCCCTTTTCCAAAATACGTAACCACAATCGGTAAAATGCAACCAGCGACAAAGAATATACATATATATACGTTTCTACATATAAAAGCCCTATATACGGGAACTGAAAATACTACGCCAAACATGCTACAACAACGTAAACAAAATTATATGCGTAAAACGCGCGAGAGGTATCTTATCCTTCAAACGATTCGATTGTAAAAAACAAAACCCAGTGTTGGCAATATTTAAAAAAAAAATTTCGCGTCCACGGGAATTTTTTTCATACCTCTTTTTTTTTTTTATTTTCTACAGGGGCGAAATATTCATGAATTTTTTTTTTTTTTTTTTTTTTTTTTCTGTTCATTAAAAAAAAAGGAGAAACCTTTTTATACCCATTTTTGCACTCTGCGCTCTTTTCCCGTTTTCGAAAATGTTTGTAAATGTACATACCTTACGTGTGCCTAAGCATATGTAACATGTTATACGTTTTTTTTCTGTTTTGCGTGCATTTTTCTTCCCCTCCATCGTTGTACACGTTTTGCCACCAGAGCCTGCAACTGTGTGACGGCATTATTTGTGCGAACGCACGGGTGGGCAGGACTACATTATGTTCATATGCTTATTTTTATTTTGTTCCACCTTTTTCTTTCCTTATGATATACCAAAAAGCAGTATAGTCTTTTTCTCGAATACATGTTTCTTCCTCCTTTTATTTGCCCTATCGCCGAAGTGGGTATATAAGTGTATGTTACAAGTACCATTATGTTTTTGTATTTATATTGTTGATCATGACATGAACGCGATATTTTCATAATAATCCCCCGTTACCCCTTCGTCCTATGTTTGTACAACTTCGCCCCATTCTTGCGTTGAAGTAGCCTCCACGTGGCCGCTCATATAACCACCCCATCTTACACGCACACATACGATAAAGCTTGCATAACCGAAACAGTTGCTCATGTCGCAGTGAATAATAATAAGCCGTTTTGGTTTGGTCCTTTATACGCGGGGCGGCCCAAAACATTTTTACAGCGGTGGCGAAAGATCGCACAGTAGACCAAGACACGTACTCCTTGGGGTGAACGCAGAAAGAGGAGGACACTTGCTACCCATGCGCATGCCGTTGAATCAACCATATTAACTACCCCCCATAGCCATTTTGCACCTGTGTGAATGATACACTTGTGTACCGGTTTCTAATTATATATATGTCCCTGCGGTGGAACTCCTCCCCGGTTTGCCTCCCACCAAGGACATGCATGCAAGCATAGAGACAAAAAAAAAACACACCTCTGAAATATGCAAAGTTACAAAGGCTTCAGGAAAAATGCACATCTACCACAACACTTTTTTTGTCAACATGTATCAACTTTAAACAAAAAAAACCGCTTCATCAGTTGCGAAGACGAGAAAAGAGCACGAAAAATAGTACAGCACGTTTATACTACCTTGGTAGCTACCTATCACACTAATCACAACGGTCAGAAGAACACACAAAATGAACCCACACCGATATCCCTGAAAAGATTAATCTCTTCCTCTTTGTTACGTAAAATAAAAAAAGCGCACAACTCCACGAATACTGAAGTAGCTAAGGAGAACACCCCCTTGGTCTGTGGGCTACCTGGAAGTAGAAAGTACACTACTGCTGCCCCGCATGACCTCCAACGTAGGTTTTACCACCCCCAGAACTATCTACCAACAAATGGGCCAACCGTAAACGGCGCGCACCACCATTTTAGCTACACACATAGCACCCGGAAGGTGGGTGCTCCCCAGAACAGCTCCCCCCATGCAGCAAAACGCAACACAAGAGATGGCAAAAATGAAGAGCATCATCGGGGAGTTGTTCACCCCACGAAGTATGCCATGTACAATGGTGTGGTGCATCCGGCGCATTACCCCCTCCAAAGGGACATAGCAAACAAGTGTCTACACCTATGTGTGTCTCCGAAATGGTTTGGCACGAAGGTGGGGAAGGAGAGTCAAGGGGAAAGAGCCGCGTCCCGGGACAAAGCTGAGAAGAAGGGGGACGAATCTGAATGGGGCGCTTACAAGAACGATCACACCGAGAGTAACAGTTCCACCGCTCACGACATCCCCATGCAAGAACGCCCAAACGCCCCACATGAAGAATACGAAAATCTAAAAATAAAAGAACTGGAAAATATATTGCACAATCTGGAAAAAATAAACGAAAATAAAAACAGCAAAATAAATATCAACATAAAAATCCTAGTGTACGTGTTTAAAAATTTTATATACAAAAATAAAGAGTTAAAAATAAAAATTTTTTTCTCCTTCATTTTTTTACTATGTTCAAAAATATCCATTATATATACCCCAATTCTCCTGTCTTCCTTTATTGAAAATGTTAATTTGGAAAAGAGTTTGAATCACCAGTTGGATGGATCGCTGTTATCGAGCAACTCAAGTGTAATGATTCTTATGGCCTATGTCCTTTCACGTGTCCTATCATCAAGCTTAAACGAATTGAGAAACAGCGTCTTTAACACCATAAGTCAGAGAATTTCCACCTACGTGAGTAAATTATTTTTTTATAAAATTCACAACTTAAACCTGAGTTATATATTCTCCAAAAAAAATGGAGAATTGTCCTTCATTTTTAACAGAGGATGTAAAAGCATCACCAACTTGCTCAACGTGTTGGTGTTTCAAATTATTCCAATAATTATCGAATTTGTTTTATACCTCTACATATTAACATACAAAATACACTATAGCGTTTCTCTCGTTACATGCTTGAATATGTTTTTGTACATCCTCTTTACTACCCTCGTCACCAAAAGAAGAACCATCATCAGGAAATTTATGAACAAGTCAGAACAAAACACGTTTAATATTTTTTTAGATTCAATCCAAAATATCGAACAAGTAAAATACTACACAAACGAAATGCACGAATTAAAAAAATTTATAAAAGAGCAAAAGAAATATGAAAGAGAAGCCATCAATGTGCAGAAATCTTTATCCGTCCTAAATTTTGGCCAGCAGATTATCCTTAATTTTAATCTTTTCCTATGTCTTTATCTAACCTATATAAATATCGCTAATGATGTTTTCCCCTTCAGTTACCTTATCCTCGTGAATACACTTCTCTTTCAGCTAGCTATGCCCCTAAACATGTTTGGAACCATCTACCGGGAAACCAAACTCAGCCTTGTAGACATAGAATGCATGATCAAAATTCTTGTCAAAAAAATTCAGGCGCTAGATTATTCCAGCAAATTAGAAATACAAAGTGGAAACATCAAATTTGAAAACGTCTCGTTTAAGTATCCCCACATGGAGGAAAATAATGAGTCGGACTTTCGAACAAGTGAGCAAGCCACACAGGATGGACTACCTCCAAGAAGCATATCCAAACTAGCTCAATTCTTCAAAAAGATGAAAGATAAGTTTTTCTTCCCCCAAAATTGGCTCAATTCAGGGGAGCGGCCAATTCCCCCCATGAGTGATGAAATCAAGAACAACTTAAAGAACGCACTTAGGGATAGCGTACAAACCACATCTCTCACCTCCAAAACGAGTAAAGACAATAACGACAAAAATCAAAAAGAAAATAATTACATCTTCCAAAACTTCACATGTAACATACAGAATGGAGAAAAAGTAGCCATCATAGGGAAAAGCGGACTGGGAAAAAGTACCCTCATAAAATTGCTCCTCAAATTTTATGAAATAAACAGTGGAAATATTTACATTGATAATAAAAATATCGAAAACATTAATTTGTACACCTTGCGAAAAAGCATAAGTGTAGTTCCGCAAGACACCATCCTTTTCAACAACACCATTTCCTACAACATCAAGTATGGAAATTTTCAATGTACAGATAAACAAATGATTGATGCTTGCATCCAGTCAGAATTGCATGAAAAAATTTTACAAATGGATAAACAGTATGATACTCTTGTTGGGGAAAGAGGCACCAAATTATCCATTGGAGAAAAACAAAGAATTTGCATAGCTAGATGCTTTTTAAAAAATTCAAAAATTATCGTCCTTGATGAACATGCAAGCAATTTGGACAATGAAAATAAAAAATCCATAGAAAAAGCTCTACAGAAATTATGCCATGGTAAAACCACCTTTGTTATTACACACGTCATGGAAAATCTTCAAACCATGGACAAAATTATTTTCTTCAGTGGGAATAACATCTTCGTTGGAAACCACAACGAGTTGATGATTGCAAACCCTTCCTACCAGGAGTTCTTCAACTCAAGGAACAATCAGCCATTGTGATATAGGTGCGCGTGGAGAGAGCAGTACCGTTACATCGCACACAAAACGTGTATGTCTCCCCTTTGAGCATATTTCCCACGTTAGCTCTTCCTTTCCCATCATCATTCTATCCTGTCCAAACTTATAACAATTTTTAAGTACCTACCCGCATTTATGATTTGCTTCATTACTTTCCTTTTCTTTTTTTTCTTTTTTTGTCCCAATTTGGGGGACATCATTTGTGAACACTCCTCAAATGCATAAACCCTATTTTAACACATTTTTTTTTTTTTGCCAAAATGGTTGTGTTAAAACTTATTGGTTGATGTGTGCAAATTGTTTTTTTTTTTTTTTTTTTTTTTTTTTACTATTGCGCGTTTTCAATTGTTACACCTTTTTCGACGCGCAGGGCCACCTTTACGATGTTATCGCAAGGGGCTCATCAAATGGGGAAAAATAAAAACAAACAAAAAAAAAATAGTCAAAGGGGTCCACACATATTAACAGACCGGTTGGCAAAAAGGCATCTGAGAAAACGCGAACAATGTTTGGCAGCCAAACGAACAAACAACATGACGCAACACGCACGCCACGTAACAAACACACAGGGATGTATTTTTTTTTTTTTTTTTAACTTCTGTCTCACCCTCTCTGGTCCCCTTCTACGTTAATAGCATCGCCCCATCGCTACTTCCCTTTGGAAATGCTCAAACTACCATACTTCTTATGATACGGCATCAGGGAGCTCCTCGAAACAACATCCACATTTTTCAGCGTGTACAAATTAAATTCGATATTCTCAAATGAGTAAAATGTGATGCACCCCAACCCCTGTACATGTATGTCGTAACTACCACTGTCCCGATCGACGCACGGATTTGTAATATTAAAATAGCAGTCCTTGAAATTGTTCAATTGGTCAAATCTTTCTACTGAAAATGGGGGATAAAGAAACCCGCTGCTTATCTTCTCTCTTAAAAAGTTCCTAGCGTCTTTGGAAAAATTTTTCCTTTTTATAATTGGAATTTTCTCGGACATAAAAAAAGACATAATGGCATAATACTTTTTAATATTTAAAATGTGAATATACATAAGCCCCCCAATAAAAATGTAATCATTTTTATTTATGTATATGGATGGCACTTTCTTCTTCAACTTTGTGCACACCACGTATTTCATTTCATCAAAGTTGAGACAAGAGAGAAGTGACTGACTGGAAATAATTCCTGGGGTGTCATTAATGGTTATATTTTTGTTTAACTTTATTTGTATATTCTTCAAAGTCGTTCCTGGAATTATGCTGTTGCTAATTTGGAATTTTCGATTGTCTTTTCTTTGTACATTTTTCAGTAGGTAATTAATGAGGGAAGATTTCCCGCTGTTGGCATTTCCAACGATATAAATGTTCACGTTCTTGAGGAAGAACTTTTTCTTTTTCCTCGGTGCCTCTCCCGGGGGGGCCAGTTCTCCCAGGTCATCACGGTTAACCTCATCACCGTCCACCTCCCCATCGTCATCCTCACCATCCACTTCTTCATATTCATCTTCTTCGTCTTCTTCTTCGTCATCGTGCTCCGACGCGGAGGGATTGTCATCACCGTCACCCTTGCTAACGTCACCCGTTTCCTCTCCTTCCCCATGACCGCGCCGTTTGCGCCCCTTTCCCCTCTTCCGCACCACCCTGCTCCTCATGTAGACCGTGTAAATCAGCTTCTTCACGTTGTAGCCCGTCTTGGCGCTCACCAAAAAAATGTTTCGAAACAACACATTTATCTTGTTGCTTCGTAAAAAATTGTACACGTAATTCTTCACAGTGAATTCTTTACAGTCAGGTAAAAGGTCCACCTTATTTATGCAAAAAAAAAAACCCTCACTTTTACCCTTATCCGACTGCATTTTATATAAAAAAAATAAATTACGCAAATTTGAATAAATGTACAAATCCAAAATGTCTACAATGTAAATTATGAAACATCTTTTCTTGAAAATATTTATTACGTACTTTTCGAAATCCTGGGCACTGATTTCGTTTTTATTTGTATAATTAATTATCATGTTGTCCTTTATATCATTTTTGTATTTCAAATTGAAGCATCGTTCGCATAAGTAAGACTTCTCTTCAGTCCTTTCCGCTCCCGTTGGTTCGCCTCCCTGGTCCTGTATCATACTACTGCTTTTTCCCTGCGTGTTGTCACATTGCAGAGATTGGACCCCCCCAGAGATGCTGCTTCCATCCACAGAGTTGTTACCCCTCCCCAGCTGCACAACCTTGCTCATGGCTTCCCCTCTTAGTTTGTGAAACTCACCCAGCAGCTGCTGCTTGCGGTTCTGCTCCTCCGCTTGGCCGCCCAGTTGGTCGTCAATCAGCCTTCTACCCACCTGCCCAATCAAATCACCATGCTCCTTCCCACACTCCTCCTCCGCCCCTTCCTCATAAATATCGCGCAGTATCTCCCTCTTATCAAAACCCTCGTCCCTGCTGACCACCCTCTCGTACACATTCCTTTTCAAAAAGCCAAACTTCTTCTGATCAGACGACTGAAAGGGTATTCCGCACCCCCCACACATGTCCTTGCTCAACTTCACTTGGACACTCATGCTTTTAAAAAACTCATCAATCTTTTTCTTTTCCTCGTCTTCCTTCTTATCTTTCCTTCCTGTAACTTCTTGTGTGTCCATTCCGCCTCTCTCTTCAAAGCGAGCCAACCCATATAATTCATCATTTAAGTTCTTGCCCTGGAGTATGCCTTTAATTTGCTTTTCGATTTCTTTATCATCCACATCGCTCATCAGTGTTTCTTCTATCCGGCCATCCTCCGCCACGCCCCCCCCCTCTCCGACTACCTGCTGTTTCCCCCGGGACTTCCCCTTCAATTGGCTCTTTAGTTGCTTAAAGGCTTCTTCATAATTTACCACACTCAAATTTTTTTTTACACTTTCTTCTGCTTTTTCTAAACTTAAAAAATCGTTTACTCGCTTCTGCCTTTCCAGCATTTTTTCCAAATAGTTTTTGCTTTTCTCATAGCTCCTATTCTGTTTCCGTCTCAACGGTTCTACCACTTGGCTAGTCCCTTCCTCATTCAACAGGTCGGTCTTGCTACCTTCCAGTCCACTTACCGTCCTCTCCTCGCCTTCCCCATGTACCTGCATAATGCTGTCTATTTGTTCAAAGCGCAGCAAATCTTTATCCATTTCGTCACTAAGAGGATCATTTTCTTCTTTCTCAATTTTCACCAAATCATCACCGATTTTTTTTTTTTTTTTTTCCTTCCCTTTTGCTGCTTCTTTTTGCACCTTTCTTCATCATTTACCTTTGCATCAATGGAAAGCGTTCTCTCTGTAGATGGTGGCAGCAGACGGGTGAGCCCCGTTCTTAACTGCAATCCAAAAACGTTTCGCTCCCTAACGTTGCGCAAGGCACCTTCCCGCCTCTTACCACCTGAAAAACCATCATAATGGCAAAACAATTTTGAATTTCTTTCTCCTCCTTTTAGTCCACCGCCTTCGTTTCGAAACATCGAATGGTACCTACTTTCAACAATACACCTGTGCACAATTTTGTTCAAGTTTAAAAATTCGTCTTCCTCATCAAATGTGTAATTTTTTAAAAACTCCTCGCCAGACACAAAGGACAAATCTTCCTCCATGTTCTTCAACCGGCTCAGGACGTACACACTTAAGTTCGAATTGTCCCACCTCAATTTTGCAATTAAATCCTCGTAGCAGTTAATTTCTTTCCTATTGTTTATGAACAGTTTGTCCTTAAATGAAATGTAGTCGTTGTTTGAAAAGTCTCCGTTTTCCACAAAATCGTACATTTTTTCATTTGCCTTGTCATCCTTCTCGCCCACGATTTGTCTGTACCTGTCGCTGTCGATTAGTACGCCATCCGCCCGGTCATCCGTCAGGTGATCCGCCCGATCATCCTCATCATAATTGCGAAAAAAGTTGTACTTGATTTTTCCATTTAGCATATTGTCGCCACCTCTTTTCCCCTCCTGCTCCACCCCACACATGTGCCTTATTTCGACCTTGTTCAACTCGTAACAATGTAAGTCTTCTTCCCATACCTTCAGGTATCCATAAAGAAGAGGGTACGCGTCAATGTCCCGTACCCCCTGTTGCGCCACAACTGAAGTATTCATGTCCCTAATGATGCTTTGCTTTCGTGCAAATCGCTTCTTATAAGGAATCTCATACAATTCCTCAAAATTTACATTTTCGAGTACATGCTTGAAAGGGCCTCCTCTAATCAAATCGGAGTCGGATAAAATATCCCCACCGCAAACGCGACTGTACATTTTCTTTACGTCTTCTTTTGCATCATCTGGTGATTTCGTTCCAAGCCTCTCGTAGGCTATCACACCTATGTCCGTCCTAAATTCGCACGCGTATTTCTTATCGTAAACGAATTTTATCAGGACAATGTTGCTCTGGGGGTCCCCCGATGCGTCGACAATTGAGTCTTCGACCACATCACCCTTTGCTTCCATCTCCGTCTCACCCTTTATCAACGCGTACGAAATTCCATTCAGGAATTCCACGCCACCCCTGTTCCCACTCCTTCCCCTCCCTTCCTTCTGCTCCTCCTCCCCATCAAATTGTTCATGCCTCCGTTCGTGTCCCGCGCCTGAGAAATTATCCTGTCCCCCGTCGTGTCCTTCCCCGCCATCATTGTCATTGCCTCGGCTTGTACTTGCAGCGGAATCTTCAACCCCAGGGCCTCCGCTCCTGTTCACCCTACCCCCACCGCTGCTACCCCCGTCTGGAGAATCCCCGTCCGTGTGCGGTCCGTCCCCAAGATCAAATCCCAAATGATCGCCATCCCTTCCTCCACTACTCCCCAACCCGTTGATAAAATTGCCATTTTTCTTGTTTTTTTTTTTTTTCTTCTTCTTTTTCATTCCCCCCTCCGAGGTAAACTCCCCATCATCTGAAGGTACCTCCCCGTCGTACAGAATTTGCTCGACCTCACGCACTCCCTTGCTCTCCTCCAAGCTCCCCAGACCTTCCATATAATCGTCAAATGACATGGAGCCATTCCTCACATGCACCTTTTTCCTCTTGTGAAAAATTCTTTCCTCATGCTCCACAAACTTCTGCAGTTCCATCACGTTTGCTTTCTCTTGGCATTTATCAAACAGGGCCTCACTTAGCTTATCGTAAATTTTTTGTACATCTATCCCATTCTTTAGAAAAACTTTTTCAAATGTGTTTTTTCCAAAAAACAGGTCGATATAAGGTGCAATATCTTTAATTTGCATTGTATTGAATTCCATCATTTTAATGTACTCGTCCAATTTCGCATTTTCTTCCTTCGTGTTCTGGTTGTCAATATTGATGTTCACTTCTTCCTCCGTCTGTGCATATACGCCTTCATTTAGGGATCCTACTAAACAAGGTTCACCTGACTTATTCTCTCGACTCCTATTCCGTCCGACACCCTTCTCACTTCCTTCATCACTACCACCAAGGATACCATCCCCCATCGTACCCATTTGGACACCACCACCCCCTTTGAACTTCCTCCTGTTAAATTCCTTCTTCTGTTTTTTCTTCTTCTTCTCAAGTTCTTCATTCACGTCATATTCAAAATTTACCAATTTTAAAATATTCATAAGGCTATAATCAAAGGGGTATTCAAAATCTTCAGTTTTTTTTTCTTCCTTTATTTTTAAATACTCTATTACTATGTTTGTGCAAATGCAAGCTAAGATGGAGATCAGCTCGCTCTTCTTCAACCTGCTGCTTTCGTCGAAATTTTCATTAAACACCTTTTCAAAATTGTTAGACAAGAGTTTGCTTCTGCGCCTTGCCCGTACCCAGTCGTCACCTCCAGCGAGGCTGATCAGACGGGTGTCACTGCCACATTTTCCACCACGTGGAAACAGGGACACACCCCCATTTGACTTAAAAAAACACCTTGTAGAAGAATGGCCCCCCCTTTTCCTAACCCTCCGGTGCACGCACCTCCTCCCGGGGGCATATATTTTATGGGGAACATAAAACACACCCCTTTTCCTATTCCGCTGTATTTTCACCGCCTTCTTCTCGTCATTCTTGCTAAAATCTTCTATGTGTGAATTCACAAAAAACACATTTTCAAAATACTTATTTTTTAAAAAATACGAATGACATTTTGTGCAGGTGATAAACACATGAACAAGGAAAAATAATACAGCTGACTTCAAAAACATTTTTTTTTTTTTTTCTGTACAGACGAATTTTCACCAAGGGAGGACAAAAAAAACATACGAACAGAAGCACGACGCTTTTTGTCCCTCCATCTCAAGCTCTTCATCTTTTTAACCCTGTGCTCCTTCAGTTTATTTCCATGTTGCTACCGTGTGAAAGATGTAAATTTTGCACCTTTTTTTTAACTCATCATTTCGCGCTTTCCCATTTTGGGTGCCTCCCTTCAGTTGCGTGTAAAGAACGGCTGCACGACGTGCTTATCCCCCCCCCCGTGGATACGAAAAAATAAAACGTGCCCTACTGCCCCCATGTACGACTGGCTTGCCGTGTTGCTTCCACAGGATCCTGTAACGGAGCAGTTATAAGAGTACAGAGTTTCCCCCAAACCGCAAAAAAAAAAAAAAATAAAAATAAATTTTCAAAACCACAAAGGGGAGATAAAAGCAAAAGAAAAAAATGACGCACTTTTTACAGCCAACTTTTTTTTTTTTCCTTCCTTCACGCCAAACTATAAACAACAAGGAAAAAGCATAAAATGTAAAAAAATGTAAAAAAAAATATGAAGCGCCACAAAACACCAAGCCAACTCGCGTAACGCTTGAGGAATAGCCAAGAATAAAACAAAAATGAAGCGCGATGGCAAGGAAAGCACGAAAAAAAAGCCTGACTACCTCCAAAAACGCCAAATGGGGACACAGGGAAACCACGAAAAATCGCTAAATCAAGGGAAAAAACAAAAAGGCGGAAACAAAAACGAAGAAGAAAAGGAAAAATTTACGGATAATCAACCAACCCCTTCTGATGAATTGTCCACTTGCCGAGGGAACACAAATAATGCCGAATCGAAAATGAATTTAAAAAACCTCCTGGGGTCCTACTACTCCAGTGATGAAGAAAGCGAAGGGGGGTCCCAACAGACAGAGGACGTTACCCACGAAAATGCCACTGGCCAAAGGGACAATCATCAGGAGGACAGTCAAAGTGATAGTGACACGGAGGAGGAGGATGACACTGATAATGATTGTGATGATGGTCATGATGAGCAAAGTGAAGTGTCGAAGGGAAAAAAGCAAAAAGAACAGAGTGAAGACAACCACGGGAAGACGCCAAAGGAAAAGAACGTCCGACCCGTTCAAAGTTATCCCAAGCGAAAACAATCCAAAATGAACTACGAAGAAGAAGAACAACAACCAGCCAACCAACACCAGAATGAAAAAAAAAAAAGACGCACGTCCCCCCCACAACAGAATAAGTGCCAAAAAACAAGTCACAAAGAAAGTGAAAATAAATCTTCACACATTCATGAAAAAATTAACAACAAGATAAGAAATTCGCACAGTTCATTCCATAGTGAATATAATGCAGACCCCACCTGGGGAACCAACCCTACGCAAGCACATTTTCAGCATCCCCCGTGGGACAATAAAAGCTTTTTTCAAAATGTGAATCCCGGTGCAGGTGGGCACTACCCATATGATGTGAGTGGCCAATATATGTACAACTTTGGCGCACCTACCCATCCCAAGGGAAACCTAAACAACATGTCCCTCACCAACTTTGGCTTTTCCACAAAAAAAGAAATCAACGTAGATCTGCAAAACATTCCTGTCATAGACCAGAGACAAATTCTCAGTGATTGGAAACCCACCATCCCAGAAGAAAAAAAAAAAACGCAAAAATATAATATAAAAACAAAGGTGTATAATCCGGCCAGCAACACCTTCGATAAGGTAATCATTCACGGAAATAAACAAAAGCGCAAACATCAGATTAACTGGTTAGCAAAAGAAGCTGTGGAAAAGGAATATGAAATTTTGCAAAACACTAATTACAGTAAAAGAAGGACCACGAATGATAAATATGGGTGGTAAAAAAAAAAAAAAAAATGGAATGCTCTCTCTAGCATCATCCGTTTTGTATTTTTATGTGTATAAATATATTTTTTTTTTTTCGTAACAACCCCCCCCCCCATTTCATCCGCTTCCCATTTTTTGTGTGATTCGTTTTGATGTGCCCATTTTGGCATTGTCACTTGCAAACATTTGTTTTTACTCTTTTCCCCATGGAAACAGCTACGCCCTTTTTTTTTTAGTAAATTTTTTTTTTTTCTTTTTTCTTTAACTTTAAAAAGTTTCAAAATTTAAAAAGTTATCACTTAACAAGTTAATGAATGCCAAACGGGTGGGACACACACACACCGTAAAGCCTTTAAAATGACCAAACACATATGTGCAAGGTCATGACTGTTTTACCCCAGCCAATGAAGTAACAATACACTTTTGGCTGTGTTGAAAAAAATTTGTCTGAGGTGTACATGAAATCAATTCTACCATCAGTGCACAGGTGGGTAGTAAAATTCATTATTCCCTTTTTTTGCCAGAAAAAATGAACAGGCAAAAAAAAAAAAAAAAAAAAAAAAAAAAGTTCACTCCTGTGACTGCTCAGAATCATCATCACCTCCTGAAACTTTTTGTATCAAATGTTTGTAAAATTTAATAATTTCATCCGATTCGTACAAAATAAAATCTTGTACTTCGAGAGCTGGTACTTGAATTTTTCCTCCTTTCTTATTCAGTTCTGCGAAAAAAATGCTTCTATCAATGGATCTTCCCTTGTTAATATTCTTCATTAAGACCACAATTGGCTTCTTCGTCTGCACTAACTCTTCCACATTGCTATCCTCATGAAAGTCAATAATTTCTACATTTTCATTATCCTTTATAGAATTCATAACTTTTGTACAGTAGGAACATATCGAGCTGTGGTAAATATAGGTTATGTATTGACTCTTCACTGGCTCTACATCTATCTTGGTCATTAGCTCCTTGGCGTTACCAATCATTTGGCACTTCTGTTCTGAGTTACCGCCGGCCAAGCCATTTTTATTATGCTCACTTCGGGAAAATCCTAGAAAAGAAAAAACTATGGCCAAAAGGAGGAGAAACGCTTTCATGGTACACTCTTAAAATAAAGTACAGTAAAATAAAAAAAAAAAAAAAAACAAATAAACAACGTAAAAGTGTTCCTGCTAAAATATGCGATAAAAACGCCTTAAGAAAGAGAGAGAGAGAGAGAGTGAGAATGAACTATATAAAAGTAAATGAACTCTGCTCAAAAAAAAAAAAAAAGAACAAAAAAAACTTATAAAAACAATATCCTATAGACTAATTCGAGTTTTTAATTCCTAAATCTACATGGAAGTGACGGGCTTAGGTCAATGTTTTTGTTTTTTTTTTTCATAACGTTAAAATTAGTTTTTTTTTTTTTTTTTTTTTATTGGCTGCGAAGGCTCCCTAAAGTTAGCTTTTAGGTTTCTCGCACATTGATAATTTTTTCAATGTTAGTAATTTTTTTTTTTTTTTTTATGTTGGCAAATTTTTGAATCTTAATTTTTTTATTATTTTTTCGTGAGAATTTTCAAGTGCCATATATGTATAAAATACACTGCTAACTCGCGTGTACCCCCCCCTATATCTATACCATCACCTGAACTACGACATGTATATACACTATGGACGACGCATTCCGCATCTACAAAGAGTGCGAACCTAACAAAAGGCGCACCTAACTCTCTCGCATATAAATCGGTATACAACAAAAGGGGTCACATGACGAAGAAAGTGCAGTGTACAAGCCCACTGTGCGTGCACGTGCAAAAAATTATTCAGGAGCATAATAACTACATATAATAACATCATACATATTCTAACATGCATATTTCTACACCGCACATCTACGTACGTGTGCACTCGTGTGTTAAAAGTTACCCGGCCGCTTGACTTCCTTGACGCACAGGAATCGAAATGAATACAAAATAAAAAAAAAGTAGTATATCCAAAGTCCCATGTTTTCTCTCTCCTTTGTGTGATTTGATTAGCTGTTCGGAAAAATAAAAAAAAATATATATATATATATATAGAAAAAGGAATAAAATAATAAAAAAAAAAAAAAAAAAAAAAAAAACGATTTTTTGGTCGATTCGAAATTTAACAGTAGCTTCTATTTTTACCAGTCCACGATAAAGGGGTGCCAAGGGACTACAGCTGCTTCGCAGGGGTGTGCGCCACGCAAAGCCACAAGGTGGAGAAACAACCAAGAGAAAAAATTCAACTAACGTAAAATAAGGTGGCAAATAAGCCTACAGAGAGAACCCACGTGAAAATGTAAAAAATATGAAAAGGCGAAAAAGAGAAACGCAAAAAAAAAAAAATGCCAAATGGTGAAGCCACGAAACAGTTGTGCACAGTTAAAAATAAGCTCCTCCCAAGTTGAACCTGAACAAAAAAAAAAAAAAATTTCACCTCGTCGTTAATACACTTATGTAGAAACATGTAGCTTCTACTATGCACAAAAAATGTAGCCCCCTCGATGGGGTTAATTTCATGACACGCAAAAAAAAAAAAAAAAGAAGAACGTAACATTTTTCTGTGTATTCAATGTATGTGTACTGTAGGAAGCAAACATCTTCTTAAGCCTGATTGAAGGAAAGAGAGAAAAAAAAAAAAAAAAAAAAAAGCGCGTCCAAAAAGAGAAGCATTTGAAAAGCTCCAATTGTAGGTAATATAATGTGTGCTCATGTATGCAACATGAATATTCGTTCGTTTATACAAAGAGATTTATTCGCCGTTCCATGTTCTCGCATGTGGGAAAAAAAGCACTTCTGCATGCATTTATTTTCTTTACTTTTAACGACGCGGGAGAAAAGAAGCTTCCACAAAAAATGGCCAAGCCATTCTTCACAAAACGAATTGGTAACCCCCTACACACACACACAGTGCCAAACAAACGCTACGAATTTGTATTTCACAACTGGCGCATTCGAAAATGCTCTCCCACAAAATGCTTCAAACGGAGTTTTGCAAATGCACACACTGGACTATGCCTCAGTACCCACCCACCTACACAGAAGAGTAGACGTAGGGGTAGAGGCTAGCTAGCATGTACCATGCACAGGTTAAAATGATAATCGTGTGAAAAAAAAAAAAAAAGAAAGGCATACATAAAGAAGGAAAAAACAAAAAAAATGTAAAATGTATGTGCATATTATTTCTACGTACAAAATGACGCTACCATTACGGTTATCATCATCCTGCGTCGCTGAGAAAAATCTAGGAGGAACAAAAAAACACAAAAAAAAAAAAAAAAAAACACTTCCCACAAGGTCAGGCAAAAAAAAAAAAAAAAGAGAGAAAAAGTCCTCTCGCCAACGTTGCATTAAATTACACACTTGAAAAAAACTGTCACTTTTTGCAAAATGGAAATCCTCCTTTGAGAAACTGTTCTAAATTTTCATACTTATAGCGAACAAGATACTCTCCCGTCTCAACCTCCTCGTTCTCCCCCCTGCATGGAGCGATACATATTACTGTCGTTTCGTTTAGTCGCACCGAACTGCGCTCACTCATTCTTCGAATTCATGGCCGCCCCGCTGAATGAATAATTACTTCCCATGTCGTCTACCAACTGGTTACTGAACCCATTGGAAAAGTCACCATCCCTGAATCGCTTGTCCTCGTCGCCCACATACTCCACCACGTACGCGCTGATCCCATCGGCTGAACAGGCACTGGGACTCCTCGATCGGAGTGCACACGTGCCGTTGTTCATGCTGCTCATTGTGTTCATGTTGCTCATTGTGTTTGAGTGGCTCATCGATTTGGCGTGGCTCATCGATTTGGCGTGGCTCATCATGTTGGCTTGGTTCATCATGTTGGCTTGGTTCATCGTGCTGGCTTCATTTATCGAGTTGGAGTGACTCATGCCATTACCCATGCTGCCCACTTGACGCATATTCTTGTGATTACCCCAACCCCCACACTGAGGCCCATTTGCCCCAGTACTGGATTGGTATCTCCTTAAACCTTCGCCACTCCCCAATTTGCTGGCCACATTACTTCCACCCTCACCTACTCTCTCACCGACTTGCCCGTTCACAACTCCCCTCCGGTCGAACACTGGGTTGCTACTTGCAAAGCGATGTTGGCAATTCGACCCGTGTGCAAGGCCCTCTGGTACGTTGTTACTGCCTTGCTTGGCATGGTTGCAAACATTTCGCACAAATGGTAAACTGGTTCTTCCATCCTTTCTCCCCGTGTCGCAATTCGCGTTGTACATCGAAATGGGCGCTGTGATATTATGGTGTAGCCTCTGCTGGTTAGACAAACTGGGTAAAGCACCCGCGCCGACAAACGGTGCGTTCAAGCCGCTCGCCAAGTTACCTCGATTCGCGAACCCCACACCGTTGGAGTAAAGGCCGACGCCGTACGGGGTGTGCATGTTGGGTGCGCTATGCACGTTAGCATTCACAGCACTGTTCATGCTCTTGGAGAAGTTCAACGCGCCCAGATGGCCAGCAGCGCCGATGCTACTTCCAATACCGCTACCGACCCCACCGACGCGACCAGCGGCACCCACAAAGTTGTCCGCGCTCACAGAACGCTCCATGTTCAAGTTGCCCCCGTTCACCAAACTGAAGAGCTCATTTCGCTTGGCCGGGTGAAACGCATTCAAGTCCAGCTTCCTCGCGTACACGGAGCACCTACCGTTGCTCATGCCATTCTGCACATCCTTAGGCACAACCGTGTCGTGCGTAACAATGTAAGGCTTATGAATGGGAATTTCAATCACCTTCTTCCCCCCATATTTATACACAGGCTTCACCCTTTTGGACACAGGTACAATGACTGGGTGGTCCACATACTTATTTATATAGAACGGCTTGTCTATAACTTTTATCTTCGGAACTTTCACAGGGACAGGAATGTCAATCACCTTAGGAATTGTCTTAACCAGCTCGACCGTCTGAATCTTAGGCACGTAACGTATCTTCTCAATAGGCACATCACGGTATTTTATAATGGGCACATAATTAGGTTGCTCAATAATTTTGCGCACAGGTACCTTTACCTTCCTAATCACCTCATTTGGAATTTCTACAATCTTCTTCACAGGCACGGTCTTTATTACCTCTCCTATATCATCATAGCTTTCGTACTTGTTCACAATTTTTACCACGGGCACTTCAATATACTTGGGTATAATTTTGGTTTCAATTTTATTCTTATATATTATACGCTCCTTAATTTCTGGCTTCTCTACAATCTTTACCACTTCTTGCAATTCTGGGACCTCCACAATTTTGTCCTGAATATGAAATTCCGGAACTTCTATCTTAGTCTCTACGTATTTATTAATAGGCTTCTTAACAACTTTCTCCACCTCCTTAACTTCATATTTATTTATATACTTGTTTACTTTGTGCACTACAGGAACTTCCACAATTTTTTCAACAATCTCGACCTCCCTATATTTCGGAATCTTAATCGTATCAAATCCTTCATGTACAATTCGCTTGTCCACAACGTGAGATGTGTGTGTTGCTCGGGAGTAGTCCGTGTGCGATGATACCTGTTCACACATGGACACCTCATTTTTTACCTTCTCACTTTCTATCACCTCGCTTGCCTTCACAACATTGTCTAGGCTAGCCGGGACACCACCCTCTTCGCCCGTGCTGCTCTTAAGGTTGAAGTCTCCGTAGTTTGCAAACTCTGCCGTTTTGAACTTCAACACGTCGCCTCCACTGGGGGGGGGAAGCACACTCGTGGTGTTCGTTGCCCCCGCAGCTACAGATACAAGTGAGGGCTCAGCCACCAATGGCGATACGGATGGCGATATGGATGACGATACGGATGGTGATACAGATGGCAATGTCGATACTAACGCACCATTTCCAGTGGCCGACTCACCCCCAAACGTGTCGTACACGTTCCCTCTACCCACCAGAGGTGCAAAATCGACCCCTCCTCCAGGGGATGCAACCTGGTTACCATTATTTACATAATAAGAGCTCTTGTCAGACAAATAAGCATCCCCCTTATTGTCGTAATTCCCCAAGCTTCCTATTCTGCTGCTCTCGTTACTGCCTATCGGAGTGTGACTAGTGTACATGTTGGTAAAGTCCATTTCATTTGCTACCTTGGAAGGAGTGAACCATTCATTTGCCGTTGTTCTGTACACCTCTGCGCCCTGCGCCAAGGGCTGTTCAATGCTGTTAGGATATACAAAGCGGGTATAAGTCGAATTCACACCTTCACTGAAGGTTACGTTTTTCTGTTCATACGAGTTTAAAATATTTGCATTCAATCCCCAGTTAGCACTAGGATAAGCCCCGAAACCGTCGCCTCGGTATGTGCCCAGATTACTTCTAGCGTAAGCGTCCACCCCCGCGTGGCTGCCACTCTGTGCGCTTAATATATTCGTTGAAAAATGCTTCAAGTCGCCGTTCGTGCCTGTGTGCATAAGGCTTTCATCATATGGACTGAAACTATAACCTGCCACCCCTGAGCAGGCCAAACTACCGCTTGGGTAAGAATTTAAAACTTCAGGTGCGTTATAATAACCCAGATTACTTACACCGGGATCAGCCTTGCTGGGTGTATAAAGATAGGACAAATCTGTCTTAACAGTGCTATACAAATTACCCTCCGCGTTTAGCAAATTTTCCTTAAACGAAAGCGTGCGAGGCAACGTTGTAGTAACATCACCACTTGCTGTTCTCTCAACCCTACTTAAAATATGTGGTATATTTGCCTCAACGTTTAAAAATTCCGTGCTGTTTCTTTCTGTTGTTTTTTCAGTATTGTGGTCCTGATTGTTGACACAATCCTGAACTATGACACTGCTGCTCTTGCTCGAAATTTTGCTTTCATCTAAAGGTGTGCTGCTCCTTCTAGACTTCCCTACTGAAGTGTTACCATATACTTTGGCGTCGCTTCCTTTTTCCAGGACGTTCACTTTGCTCAACCTGTGTTGCGAATGCTTCCTACTCGATTTGATAGAACCCCCCTTGGACTTTGTCTTCTGATCTGATACAAACGAACTTGTATTATTCGCATCTAACGTTCTTGTAATGTTTCGATTTTCCAACAGATGCAAGCTGGCATTACTACTGGTGATAGACCCTCCTTCTCTGTCCTCGGATGAATCCTGTGAAGCGTTTAAAAGGCGGTGTTTATGTTTACTTTCAAAGTTGTGCACGTGGGAACGGAGCGGTAGAAGAGGCAGTGAAAGGGATGTGTATGCCGCATGCACATGGAAAAGAGGCCCTCCACATCGTTCTGTTCAATCCGATGCGTTCCATTTTGCGTAGCACATGCACAAAAAGGTGCTAAATTTTTCTATCATTACACAGAACTTCGTGGAAGTGACGGAGTCCTTGGATAGTTTTTTTTCCAATAATATCCTGTTCTACAAAAAAAAAAAAAAAAAAAAAAAAAAACATTAAGATAAAATAGTGTAAAACGACAGAGAACAAAAACAACAACACCAAGGGTAGAAGCGCAACCAGGCTGTGTTCACACAAAAAAAAAACATGCATAACCAAATAAGTGCACTATCATATGCGCCTATATATTTTTGCAAAAAAAATAAGATTAACATTTAGTTAGGGAAAAATGAAAAATTTTTTTTTTTTTTACTTGTTCTCGCTTTGTTCTGTCAATCTTTGTCGTACTTTTCAGCATATTGACAAAATATTTTCTACTTCACGGTGGTTTTAACGTCTAGCTGCGAAGCCCGCGTGTGCATATGTCTGTGTACACAAGCATCAACATATACTGAATTACATACATACATGCACGAACATAGACACATGCAGGTTGGCATACGCGCATACTTGCATATATACACACTTATGCAAGCGCATCTGGTCCTAGTTCTTACAACGTTTTGCACTTTTTGTTCCTTTCGTACTATATCCACCTTTTTCGTATGTTCAAAGGATACAATGCATTGGCCGAAAAGTGCAGTGTAACAGTGCACACAAAATGTTTTGCCCTTACAACGAGGTGATGTTGTACACGTTGTTATCTCGAGAAAGGACAGTAAGCAAAAACGGGAAAATATGTAACACGCATAAGGTAAACAAAAAAAAAAAAAGAAAGCGACAAAATGCATATAACAGTAAAATATAATTCCTGCTTACAGAATGTTCTCTTCCAAATGTGGCAAAAATAAAAATAAACAAAATTGACAAACGGGCGCGTAAAACAACGAGAAAGGGATATAATAACAAATGTTGTATTGTGTTGTGTTGTATTGCGTCGTATTAGTTTTTTTTTCTTTTTTTTTGTGGAAAGTCCTTCATTTTGGGAAAAAAAAAAAAAAAAAAAAAAAAAATGTAGCGTTTAAAAATTAGCCTATTTCCTTCTTATTAAAGATTAAAATTACATACAACTACACACGTGTAGGTATATATATACACACCTGTGCAATATTTCCCTACTTTTTCACATTTTTTCACCTGAACAAAATAGCCAAATAATAGCTACATACAAGAAAAATTATGACCTGTTCATAAGAAAAATTCTAAATGTTGTAAAAAAAAAAAATTTTACACAAC